GAGGGTGGCAGGGGATTACCCTTCCCACCACAATTATCAAGGACTTTGACATCATTGGCTCCAACTCTTTCTCCTGCTTCACCTTCGCGAGTCTGCTCTTGCGCCCGGTGTTCCAGTCACACTGTAGCTGCTGAGCATGGGGTGATCACAACCCACCCTTGCACAGCTCCACAGCTCTGACCTGGTGTTTTCTCTTCCTTGATGGTCTTCTCATTCCCTCCCATTTTTCCCTTTCCACCAAGGTAAAAATACTGTTCATTCTCAAAATTCCATGGCAAGTGTTTCTCCAAGCAGCTTTTCCTGTACTCTTTTTCCTCAAGATGTTCATAGATTAAGCCTGTCTATGGAATCTGACATTTTTGGCTTATTTGATAGTTGTGTTCTCACCTCATGTGCTAGATAATGATCTCTGTGGTGAGAAACCCACAGAGGTGGCTTATATTCACTTGGACGTGTGTTAAGAGGACGTACAAACGCCAGGACTCCTCTAGTTTCCCCATCTAGTAAAATTATCACCCAGTGGTGCTTTCCACAGACCTTGGAGTCATCCTCTGCTCCCTTCCCCTCACCCCTCACCTCCAAACCCTCAGCAGCCTTTCCCCATGCTCCCCTCACCCATTGGACCTCCAGTTCCCAATCTTAGCTCTGCATTCTCACCCTGCACCAGCAAGCTGTTTCCACCTGCATGCACGTGCACACTCACATCTACGCACACGAATTCTATTCTCAACTCAGCAGCCAGAGGCAACATTTACATTTTAAAGTCTACATCTGATTATATTTCAGTTCTGCCTAAAGTCAGTCTATCATCATGTTTAGAATGGAACCCAAAGTCCTTCTCATGTTTTGTAGAGTCCTAACCTCAAGTTCCAGTGCTCTTGCGCTGTTCTCTATGGTCCCACCTCACTGCCCCTCCAAGGACCCTCATTCAGGCCTGGCAGTCGCTTGTCTCCCAGCCTCTGCACTTGCTGTTTCTTCAGGCTGTGGTACACTCCGCAGATAGGTTCATTCCTTCATGTGCTTTAGGCTACACTGCGCCCCTCGTGTTCTGAGTCTCTGTGTCAATGTCACCTCCCTGGCTGTCATATGCAAAGCACCCCTCTGCCATCATGTCTACCCTCATGCGGCTCAAGTGTTTTTTACACACATAGCACTACATTGTGAATGTGTCTGTCACCCTCTTGAAGATGTAAACACACGGCAGACAGAGACTTCATTTTGATCTCTATTCTAGTCTCAGAACCTGAAATGCAGACAGAGCAGATGTTTAATAAACACGTGCACATGAATAAACTCTTCTTTGTGTGTCCTTTTGTTTCTTGTCGATTTAGTTGATCATAATACATACTGAAGAAGTATTTGCAGAACTGAGTTTTATGTACACACCAAAAATTATTTAATATAATCATCAATGACAAAACCATAATAAAGTACTTTTTCATGGAGCACTAATGATGGAAGCACAGTCATTACAATTTAACCTATTTACTTTGTTTTTGCTATGATGTACTTTCCAAGGGCACGAAGTATATCACATTGAAGGGTTATTCTCCACGGATGGAGTGCTGGAATTAACACCACCAGGTTATACCATCTACAAAGGGAGTTGCAGGTTGGAGGGAGAAGGGGACATTAGTATGATGTGAAGAATACCAAGAAAGTTACCCTAATCCACAAAGCCTTGTAAATTAGTTTCAAGCGGTACACTTAAAGCCTAAAGCCTCTTCTGGTTCCACCTGTGTTTCTTCTCTTCAATGCATTTCTCTCCCTTTTAGGGTACTGACTTCTTAGAGAATTTGTCCTTTGATTCTAGTTATTTTTATAGGAGATAAAAAAAAATACCTCAAGTACTCACATTGGCAGCACATATATTAAAATTTGGAATGATACAGGAAAAAAAAAAGAAAAACATCTCAAAATCAACATTCACCCACTCTATGCTGTTTCCCATGTAAGAGGTCAGGTTTAACAAATCTTTTTTTGGTCATTCAATGTGTAAATACAAAAGCATATGTCTGGCACTGCATAAGTTTATTTAAGTTTACCAATTTTAAATGACTATTTCCACACTAACATGATTTTCTTCTTTTCTTTCAGAATTCCCTCAAATCTCCACTTTACACTAGCTCCCTATACTCAGTTGGATGTAATACCCTTTAACCTAGAAACACAAATATAAGTCACAATGCAGAAAAGATTAATGCATTTTCTAAGCCACTATTTTTTTGAGATTTGTAATTTATGCATGCAAGAACTGGGGTACAGGCTAGAGGTACAGTGGGTGAGAGGATTCACCAGAGACAAGTGGAATAGAACAGGCTGATTGATGAAGTACAGTGCTGAGGGGAGCAGTGGGCAGGGGAGCAGAGGAGGAGAGGTCTGCTGCGCCATGTGGGTCAGCTCCCTGGCAGGGGATCTGTGCTGTTTTGGCTGTGGATAGCTTCACAGTGCTGTGCTTTAAACCCTTGTGCCACCAGGGAGTCCTCTAAGCCACTTATTTCTATTCTTTCTGTGTTAGAATTACTTGTAGAAATTCAAAACAAAACAAACACCAATGCCCAGGACTAACCAAGTGCAAGCTCCCATCTCTGAGGCCTGATGCAGGCATCACAATTTCTTTTTCAGTTCCCCAGATGAACCAAAGGGGCAGACAGTGGTGAGCTAATACTCTCGGCCGGCACAACTCTTGAGTCACAAAGACATACAATGTGGTGAAAGGAATATCGGCAAGCGGAAGTGGGCCCTAAGATTTTGCTATAGTTAATTCTCAGAGTAGTATATTGTCCTGCAGATAATTCTATCTATGATTAGATACAATGAATACTTTAGACGTAGGAATATGATTCAAAACCAAAAATAAGTTGAATAGGACTAAAAGGTATTTAAAAGAAATTATTTGTCAAAGATCAAAATTATTCACACTATCTTCTTTAGCCCTCGATGGCCTAAGAAACATTGCAATACTCTTTCCTCTTTCCTAGTGTTTACTTTTATTAATGCAGCAAATGCCAGGGAGGAGGACAGGACTTCTAAGTGTGGTTCTTGTGGTAGCGGGACATTAAAAAGAAAAGTTTAAAGAAGATTAGGATCCAGGACTGTCAGGAATCTATTCTACAGAGAGGATGGGTGGGGGGCTTAGGTTTTCAATCAAGCCGTAAGGGAAGGTAAAGAAAGCTCCAGGTATAGGCAACGAAGTTTGCCTAATTGTGATGACCCTGAGGAAACATCCTGCCCACGGACTGGACTCTGGCACTGTGTTTTGGTTATGTTGAATTTTTCTGTACAAGAACTTCAAAACTGAACACTTAATGGTTCAAAAGTAGAAAGGTAACTGTAAACTTATTTTCCATAAATGTTACAACACAATCATATTTGGGTAGAAAGCTTAACTGAATGGACTGGGGTGTAACATAAATATATCTTTCTTCAGTTCTGTACTATCCTGACCACTTTGTAAAATATTCATTTGTTTGGATACCTCTTCAAAACCATTGTTGCTAGGATCTGAACTGGCACTGAAAGAAAGATGATTTGCAACAATGAGAAAGAAAGAATCTTAATACTACATTAAAATTATGTTTCCAAGTGATTTATAAGTCTATGTCTTAAAAATCACAATTTATGTCATCTGTCAGTCTTCAAAATTGCCTGGAATTATAAAATAGCCTTTTTGTAGTAAATTCAAATTTTTCAGTATCTTGTTTAGACATTAGCCATTTACTGATACTTTGCATGATTTATTAGTGATTGACAAATTATTTTAAAGTAATTAGTAATGCTCCATCAACTAAAACACCTCCTAAAGGATGGTATACCATACAATTTCTAAATCATTATTAGTGCTTAACGCTTTTCTTTCATAATAATGGTTTCATCCTGACAAAAAGTGATGCTTTGAAACCCCTTAGATTTCTTTTGAAATCCCTGAGCATTAAGCATGTCAACTAGTCACATCTTCCCTGTGTATACAAGATTCAGTCCCTTCCAGACTGTTTCCCTGCTTGCTCCTCACACACAGTCCTTACAAAAAGGGACAGTGTCAGTAACTTTACTGAAGACAAACACCTTTACTTTGAGAGTGAAGCGACAAGGACAGTAAAAAAGACCAAGGAAAGAAGAGAAAATCCTTGTAGAACCAGGTGTACTACAAAGCTGAATTAGTTCACAGACCCAGGACACTGCTTTTTATAAGTTTTTCCTCTACTGGGAACAATTTTCTGAGTCTCCCTCTCTCTGCTTTCTATCCCTCGAGTCCTAACCAGGTTTTTCTCTTTTCTTTTCTTTTTTGGCTCGTGAGAACGAAAAAAAAGTTGCCAGGGAGAGAATATTCGGTACATTTCACAGAGGGTGTTCTATTTCCAGGGTTTTACCGTTCTCCAGATGGTTCCCGATAGTCCGTAGACACGCAGAGTCACTAGACTCCTCGTAGACCCTTTTGAGAACCTGTTCGTGAATACTAGGACCCCTCGGCGCCTCCCAAAATAAACCCACACGAATTTCGCAGGATCGTCGCCTGTCAAACCTCAAAAACTCACCGTTGGACTCCAAGTTGAAAACGGCTGTCTCGAGTAAAAAGGCAAGGAATTGTCACCTGTCAAGGTGCTAAAAGACACCCTTGACCTCCTGAGATAAGCTTTCCCTGGCTAGCAGGGGTCGAAGCCCACTGCTTCCGCAGTAGGTGGGTCCCCGCTACCCACTGGTTTTAACAGAAGGAAAAGTTAACTTTGGGCTCCTTGCATTTCCCCAAAACCCGTCCTGCAGCGGCCCGCCCAGACCTGGGCGCTGCCCTCAAAATCTGAAACCAGGCAAGAGAGGCGTGCAAAGAAAGCCTCGGGGTACATCAACCGCTCCGCGAGACCAGAGCCTGAGGCTCTTGGGCGTGCCAGCTCCAGCTTTGAGTACAGCTTCGGAGGTCGCGCGTCCCCAGCCAGGTCTAACTCTGACGCTCCCAAACCTCCAGAGCTCCGCAGGGCCGAGGCTTGCTCGCGGGGCGTCCTTACCTTGGGGTTGGTCAGGAGCTGGTGCTCGTCGCTGTGCAGCAGCGCCCTGGAGTTGGACTCGGAGTTGTTCACGTAGACCTGGACGCAGGGGTACTGCGAGGTGCCCCGGCAGTCGGCGCCACAGGTGAAGGTGCACTCGAACACCTCCCCGATCTGCTGCACAGACAGCACCGTGCAGTTGGCCGCCGTGGCTTGCAGATCCTGCAGCGCGGGACTGAGCCAGCAGAAGCCGAAGATGAAGAGCGACACGACGCCGGAGATGATGAGAAACAAGCCGAGCCGGATGCTCTTGTCCTCGGCTTCCGTGTACTCGTAAGCCACCCGGAGCTTCGCCATCGCCCCCCACTCCGGCGGCTGGCGCGCTCCCCCC